TTATGAGAAAGGTGACTTACAGTAAATGAGATGGGAGAAAATTAAAGTAGTTTTAGCAGTTCCACATTATTGAGTGCCGGTGAAGTTCTGGTTTGAGTGATTTTTCTTAAAAAAGACTAAATGAGACCCACAAATGATGGAGTTCTGTTCCAGATGGCCTCCACAGTCACCTGATCTACATCTAAGCAAAATGGTTTGGGATGAGATGGACCCCAGAGTGAAGATAAAGGGCCAACAAGTGCTCAGCATCTCTAGGAAAGCATCTCTTTCAGGTGATTATATCATGAAGCTCATCGAGAGAATGCCAAGAGAGGGCGAAGCAGTAATCAAAGCAAAGGGTGGCTATTTTGAAGAATCTAAAATAATAATAATAATAAAATATGTTTTGAATTCTTTCACACTTTTTTGTTTACTACATGATTCCATATTTGTTTATTCATAGTTTTGATGCCTTCAATGAGAATCTACTATGTAAATAGTCATAAAAATAAATAAAAAATGTGAAATGAGAAGCTGATTCCAAACTTTTGACTGGTGGTGCATGAGTCGGAAAATCCTTCATTTCCTTGCAGTACACACAGAGGTTTGTATTTTCTTCACTTCTCTTCAGCTTCTGCTCTCTCTTCTAATTTCACTGATTCAATGGGAAGGATTTCTAACATCTATTTTGAGGGGTCATATTATCAAGAGACTGTCATGGCATGGACAAATAAGAGAAATGGCTGGAAATTTAGCTGCTAAGTTAAGTTAAGGATAGGGTACGAGTAAAAACAAGGTATCCCAGCTGTCATCAGAAGAACAATGTTTTAAGGTTTATATTAGAATATGTTGGAGATGCCCAGAGATACAGTGGACTTGTTGATTGGTTCCTTTGCTATCTGGGAAAATAGTGGAGGTTTACACTATAATAGATGGGGAAGGAGCATGATACACTGAAGACTGAAAAGCCACACTGATGACCAAGTTCACCATTTCATCTAAGGTGTATTGGCAGAAGTTCTGGTTGAATACTGGCCCTCCTGGTGAGAACACCACTGAGACATATTACGATCTAAATGGCCTCTACTGTTGCCAGAGCAGCCCAAAATATTCAGCTTTAAGTCATAGAGAATAGATATTAGAGCCTTAAACAGGCTGACTTCTGCTAAATGGGTCAAACTGGGCAGAAAGTATACAAACACATAACATCCTTATAGAATATGATGTAACACTATAGATCAACTTAGCTCAGAATATATAAAGCATATAAACAATTACAGCAATATGATGCAACACACACAGCAGCTACTGATCCAAAATACTCAAAGCTTCATAGAACTGAAACAAACATTTATTTTTAGGTCCATTCTGCTGCTGATACATACTTTAGGTTTCTGAACATTAAACTTGTTGCTGCCTTTCATAGTGTGTAACTTGAAGGCCCCGAGTACTTTCTCCCACACTGAAAACACTGGAATGATAACATTATTTGAACATTACCTAATAAGACTGATTCAGGACAGACAGTTAGTTATTCTAAACTTTCCTAGCAGTCCTTCACAAACAGGGAACAGTCTGTCTATTCTGTTGCCAGAGCCGCAAAATATATTCAATTCAATTCTGTCTCCGGATCATCTGTACACAACATAAAAGTTCAAATTTGACACAGAAAGGGTTTTTTTTAATGGTTTAGTTAATATCACAGTGATTATAAAACTGCATGTATGTGTTGTTTCACCAAGTCTGCAGAGGACAACTAGTGTCCTGCGCCGCAACATGTTGTGCTGTAGTAAAGAATAAGCGACACACGTTGAGCTTGTGTTAACTTCACAGCAAGAATGTTTATTCTTTACAACAGGATGTTGAAATCATCAAATTTCTCGAACAGTTTCTGCCTACCATTGCTTATTTGCATAAAAATGGTATGATTCAAAGTTTGAATGTATATATATAATGAGCACTGTAAAACGTTAGCTTCTTATATATAAAAAAATACAGAGAATTGACAAGTTAAAATCTGAAAAATTATAATATTTAAGGACATATTAATAATAAAAATTAAATAAAATTACAAAAACTTTACATTGTAAAAAACACTTTCTGAATGCTGAATTGCACGATACTGCAAAATGAAAAACTTGTATGAATACTTGTTATTTAAAGTTTTATTCACAAACTGAAGAAAGAGACATTTTCCTTTATCTCCCATGCTTCACTATAGCAGTTGTCTCATTACCAACTATAACTGTAACACAAAAAAATAAAATAACAACAAAATACCAGTAGATAGTCTTGGTCTTAGTGGAGGGCATCCACTTCCCTCCACTATGCTCTGCATCATCTGAAGAGTCATGGGACTCTCAGTAAAGACGCTCTTCATTGATTTCAGCTCTGCTTTTAATACCATTATTGCAGACATTCTTTTAGACAAGCTGACAAACTTGGTCCATGTGCATTGATCAAAAACTTTCATACTGACTAATCACATGTCTCTCCAGAGTCTGAGCAATTATAAAAGACTACCCCCTATCCACCACCGCTTTAACATTCTGCCCTCTGGAAAAAAGTTCAGATCCATCAAGTGCAAAACACACAGACTCGAGAACAGCTTCTGCCCGTGGGCTGTCAGAACTCTTAATACAAATTAAGAGTGTAAGTGTATCTCCCATACAGTCATTCTATCGCTACTATGTTGCTGCCATTCCCTGTGCAATATTTCGGCAGATGTGCAATTACCATCCCTATCCTTACTGACTATAGCCCTTCCACTCTTATTTATTTATTAAATTCTATTATGATTCCCTTGTGTTTTTTCTTTTTTGTATATTATTTTTATATTATTTTTTATATTATTTTTTATATTATTTTTTATATATTATTTTCTTTACTTTTACACTTTTGTGGTCTTGCTACCTAATTTCACTGCAAGCAACTGTACAATGAAAATGAAAAAGTTGTTCTGAGTTATCCGAAAGAAAAAAATATTGGAGTTTCCAGTATTTCAACACTTTTTTGACTCCAATATTTTGAAATCTGACTATGATTAGAATGATAAATGATCTAATTTTTAGAACCACCTCAGATTTGTATCTCTTGAATACATTTAGAGATCAATACTTTCACTTTTCACTGGCCTTTCTTAACATAAGAATAAATCACATTTAAATGAATATTTTTATGCAAATGTTTATTTTTATATTAGAACATGATTTAGTATGAAAGCTGAATAAAAATGGAATTTCATATTTTTGACTAAAAAGTTTATTTTAAATGATTTAAAATTTAATATTGCAAAAACAGGGCGTTTTGCACAATAATGAAATTCAACTCAATTCCATTAATTGTCTTTTACAACTTTACTTTAGGATTTCTCTAGGATTTACTTTAGGATTAAAGACTAACATGGATATAAGCAGCTCATCAATGAGGTTTCATTAATTTGTAGTAATAATAATATTAAATGCATTTTTTAATGAAATTGCTGTATTTTATTTGTGAATACAGATTACCTTCATTTGTATATGTGACTGTAGGTGTCTTATTTGTGTATAAGTCAACATGGAGAGAAACAAACTGTGTTCCTCCAGGCTGTAAAACCTTGAAACTGATGAAGGTAAAAACAAAAACCTTGGTTTAGTTTAGTTTAATCTTTAAACCTTTACAGCCACAGAAAACAAACGATTAAAGACTGAATTCAAGAAAAAAAAACATTCAGTAGGTACTGCTGTTTGCAAAACTTTATTAGCAATAACCAAAGTTACAGAGACAATAAATTTATAATATGTGACCTGGACTTGAAATTTTTATACTGCAGTGACAGACTGAAGCGTCTCCTTCATGGAAGGAAAAGTTCAAAGCTTCACAGATCAGAGAGGAAACGTCTGACTCTGCAGCTACGTGGAAATAATTTCTCTGTTCTGTTTCATAACACTGTCCATCATAACATTCATTCAGCTGTAGCTGACCAGTGAGTCCTGAACAATGTCAGGCAGATTATTGATCGTCTATAATCGACAGTAATTCGTCTTTTCTTCATCACACACAGTGTTTGTGTTGTCAGTCGGTTCAGTATGTGTGACAGTAATTATACTGTAACAGCTGATCTCTACATGAGGATTAATTTGTGTTTCAAATCTCACAGAAAAAGTTTGATCTTACAGCCGAACCAGAAGTTATTCTGATACTGCAACATACGAGACACTGAACTCATAAATACTGTGTAAAATCAAACTGTGAACAACATGAGATCTTTTGTTTGAAATTAGTTCACTCTGAAATATTTGTGTGGAGAAACACAAAAAAGCATGTCTAAATTTTGTTTGATGTGTTTTGTTTGATAATAGGAACTCCCAGATGTTCATCATATAAGTGAGGAAGAAATATAAAGAACTTTTCAAAGATTTGCTTTGAACTTTTACACTGAGATGAACCTGGAACCTGGAAAGCTGAATAAATAGAGCCACTGTTTCTAATGTTGGACTGTGATATAGTAAATTGAAGGTGATATAATAGTCTAATGAGGTTTGATAATAATCAGAGAAATGCAAAATCAAAATGAAATCTAGACATGTTTGTCATCTGACAGAGTAAAATTGAGCATCCTCTGTTGGTGTTTGTTAGGATAATTATTGATTTTCAAAGAAAACATTGAAAAGAACAGCAGAACAGCAGAAACTGACAGACTGACAATCAGTCCAACAGATACAGCCTCTGTGCGTCCTCCTGCCTCCTTCCCTCCATCCTCCTTCCCTGCCTCCTTCCCTCCATCCTCTGTGTGTCCTCCTGGGTGACCTGCAGGGGAGAAACAGGTGTGAGGTGTCAGCTGTCAGGTAGGTGATGAGTGAAGAACAGAACAGAATCCATTTGTTCTTCAAACTGCTGTCAGACATTATCTACTGCACTCTGATCACATCACTCAGACCAGCTGCTTTCTACAAAGTCTCATCAACAACATCTTTAGAAAAAAACATCAACAACCAGGAAGCAGCTTCACCTCTGATCACACACACACTCAGCTCTACTCACTCACCTGGAGGATCAACAACACTCAGGGTGATGCTGAGGGCATTTTTTGTTCCACTCATGAGGACACGACACTCGTATGTTCCACTATCAGCAGTCGTCACATTCTTCAGAATCAAAGACACGTCTCCATCCTTCATCTGTCTGTCCTGCAGATCCACCCGGTTCTTAAAAGATGGATGCTGGTTGGCTGGATCAAAGTGTTCATCTCGGTACAAAAGGACATATTTTTCCAGGCCAGTTTTGCTCCACTTTACAAGTCTGATTGTGATGTTGTTTGGAGTTCGACATGGGAGACTGACGTTCTTCTGTCCAGACTCAGCTGTGATGATCTCCTTGCCTGAAAAAGGAAACAACACAGAGCAGAGAGGATAAACGTCAAAGTACAAATGTTAGCTTCTATAGCAACCAGACAAACAGACAATGCACTTGCTCGAAATCCTTCTTGTAGCAGTGCTTGCACCTGGAATCCAATACCTTTGCCACAACTTGGACAGCACGTGGTTACGTCCACCATGCCTTGTTTTCTGATGTACATGTTGAAGCACAGGGTCAGTAAATTGAAGATCCCTAGCTATAATAGCAGGATGCCTTGCTTCCTCAGGTATAGCTGCTCTACTGAGCCTACTTCCAACTTGTGACACACAATCCTCAAAGCTCATAGAGATTGCTGCTCTTCTTCTTCTTCACCCTCTCATTCTCATCTATGTATTCATTTGCCTTAACAGCATTAACTAAAATTGCCATTTTAATCTCTGGATCATTTGAAGAGACCTTTACACTGCCAGGCTTCACTGAACAATTAATTTCTGGTTCAGAAAGACACTTTGGTCCTTTAAACCAGGAATCAGCCTTCAGAAAAGATTGTACTTCGACTCCCCTAGAAGCCAGATCAGCAGGATAACATGATGTACTAACATATTTCCACTGAGAAGGTTTGGACATTTTAAGCATCGCTGCCATCCGGTGTGCTACAAATATTTAAAACTTTGAGGTTTCATTTGTGGTATATTACAATACAGAGGTGTTATCAGTTCAAAAACTGATTCCTGCATTTGCAGCTCTTTTCTCCACATCTTATCCATTCTACTCGCAACCAATGCAGCTGTCAATTCCATGCAAATCCCAAAAGTACATATGGGTGACAGATGAAAGAAATGAACATGTGTTTTAAAAAATTAATAAATGTTGCCTGCAATTATACTATGATTTCTGGTATTTAGGACCTTTTTCATAATTTAAAATTGGAACTTTTGTTTCATTTTGGTGTTTATACAGGAGAGATCAAATTAAAAATCACAGAATTAGAAACAAGGGGAAAGTGATGTTCTCACAACTCAATGTTTCACAAAGACTGCCTCACATGGAGCCAATAACCACGATCTCCTTTACGTTCAGCTACACTAACATCAGCATCAATGAGCATCATTACTCGGCATGTCGCTCTAATCAAACCACACTTAAAAACGCTCATGTTGAATCATTTGATCAGGTATTAGATGAGGTTTGAATCTGATCTGCTGATGTGAAGCTGAAAGCAGAAGTCACCTTCGCCAGCAGATCACAAACAGGAAAAGTGACCGGGGCGTTATGGTAAATAATGACGTTGCCTCTCATCTGTTCTGTCGTTCACAGAAGTCTCCTCTGTTACCGCAGCCACAAACGACGAGCTGAAAACATTTCAGCAGCCTCTGCGTGAAAACTTTCCCTGACTTCGTTGAGATTTCTCGGTTTTGTCGTTTCAGAGTGGACAGCAGCTTTTCTGCCTAAGTTTGGCTTCAGCCTCTGACGGTAAGATGGAAACTCTTTAACTGCTGAACAGCCTTTGAAATTTTCTTTCAGCGGAACCTTAAACAATTGTTGTTTTTTCACAGCGTTATTATTTTAGTTCGATGTTTTGCGCTGGTTTTCATTTTAATTTGGTTTCAAATGGATAACACACGTTAACAATTTCCATACTAGTTTTCAGTCGTGATTTAAATATCATTTATATAATACTGGACTGTTTGGGAACATGAGAAGCGTGAAATTTACCATTGGACTTTTTTGTATAGTCCTCCTTCTTTGTAAGAGGCCACCTAAACACGTACGACATGAATGGAAAGCCCGGTATCTGCTCTATGACTTTGTGGGGTAGCTCACTTAAGTCAAATGTTACATCAAATTAAGATACAGGCTGATTTTCACTTGTATTCCGTGTTTCTCCACATCGCCCCTCGTATTGTTTTTTGTTGTTGTTTGTTGTTTGTTTTATGATTATTACCTCTTATCAGTCCACGACCACGTACATGAAATTAAATGTTCCTGGTTTAAATGATAAAAACGCCACATTTAGGGCATGAAGGGGTTGATGGAGCCGGGATGGAACAGCTGTTTTAAATGTGACAGTTTTTTTTTCTTTTTTTTTTCTTTCTTTAAATATAACATTTGATGATGTTTTAACATTTTTTTTATTAAAACGGTCTGAGTACGTTTATAACCAGGGTAACCTATGAGTAACCCAGGAACAGAGAAAATAGTCAGGGAGCATGTTTACCAGTATATAGGGAATAGAGAATGAAAAACGTTTTTAGGTTCGTTGTTGGAGTCTATCCCAGGTGTCAAGTGTGTCATTGTGTGGGTCAAATAAGTGACAATTGTTGCTCTGGGGAATCTTGAAACGGTACGTGTCATGTCTGTGTGTATTTTGTTTCTTTAAGTGAGAGTAATGACAGAGTTCTAGTTGGCCTTTGAAACTGTCATGAGAACAGGTTCCCACAGAGACAGACACTTGGTCATCTTTGAAACATCATGGGGGAATTTTGAAACTGCAGAAAAAACAGCATTTTGTACACAGAAGTAACAGAAAACAGACAGAAGTTCTTCTTTGCTACGATATGAGATCTGAACGATGCTGCAGTGTTTAGTACTGTCACTTCACAGCAAGAAAGTTCCTGAGTTAAATTTAGGCTGGGGCCCTTTCTGTGTGGCGTTTGAACCACTTTAGAGTATAAGAACAGTGAGCTTCCTCCCACAGTGCAAAGACATGTTAACTGGTGATTCTAAATTGGCCAGGGATGCAAGGTAGATAAAGTATTTAAGTGCAGAATAAACTCCGGTATAGATTTAAGGGTAAAGTGAAACGTGTAGCTAAAATTCTTTGAGTGTCTTGTAAGACAAGGAACAAGTTAAATATTACACGCAAGTCCATCATCAAGTTAGAATTAGAATTATGTATTCTGAAGTTATTGGCTTTAAACTGAGTCCCTCACAAGTAACGCTCCCTTTGAATGCACAGACACGACTGTTAATATTAAGTTATTATTGCTGATTATACAAGGAAGAACACCACGCCCTAGAGGAGTGACAGTAAAGTGTTGCGTTGTCGTTTAGGTCTAACTTAACAATTGTCGTCATGATTAAAAGCTGTCGCAGAACCACGTAAACATTTATTCGATTCGATTTTCGATTTTCTTAAGAAGCGTTTTTATTTTAATTTAATTTTTCATTCAGTTTCTCGCGATAGTTTTCGGGATTCTTTTAAAAGTAATTAAAATGATATTAGGTGGATTTGCACCAGGACCTAAACATGGATCTTATGAGGGTTTTGTAACTTCATTTCATGCTATTATTTTCCCTTCCCTGAACAGTATTTTCCTCTCTCGTATATGCACTGCTATACTATATGCTTCATGTCCACGTACAGGAAATTAATATTTTTTTATTTTCTAAACCGCGAAAGTTTCTTTTTTATTTATTTGTTTTCCAATTGACGATGTTTCTAAAACAAAAACGGAGAAAAATCTTCATCGAAGATAATATAAGCTGGATTCCATCATTAAAACAGGCCTTTGAAAAATTGCCAAATAATAATAAGAAGAAGAGCAAATCCGTTGTATCCTCAGCCTTATGTTATATTATTAAGATAAATAACAACTTGAATTGATTAAAATACATTTGTTATTATTATAAAAGTCCAGCTCACCTCCAGCAGCAAAAACCGAGACAAATACAAAGAGGACACTTTTGATCATTTTGCTGAGAAAAAACGAAGACCGTCGAGCTTGGCCTAGTTCATCTTACGAGTCTTCCAGTCGGTCTGCGTCCAAACAGGAACTAACTGGAGAGTGCTCTCATGACTGCTTGACTGATGCTGACAGTGGCCAATCAGCCTGCTGTGACTGTCACTTTTTTCTGCGTTAGCTGGAAGATTTGATTGGTCAGGAATGAAAATGAACCAAAACTTTTTAAAAGCGCAAAGTATTTTTCATCTAGACTTTATTTACAGGTTGTCTGAAATCGAAGATTTGAGGGAAAAACAAAAAAACCTTTTTTTTCTTTTTTTCTTTTCTTGTTTTCATCTTGTTACAGTCTCTGTTTCTTTTTTTCTTTTTTCCTGCAGAAGCAAATTAAGCTCCTAGCTGTTAGCCAAGATGCACAGAGAGAAGGATAAGGCCCAAGCAAGGGAAGGATGACCCAGGTGGAGGCCGCAAACTAAACGTGTCAATGAGGGATTTTTTAAAATTTCTTCTTCTTATATAATAACAATACTACTACTAATAATAATAATATTTTTAATCTATCTTCAAATAGTAAGAGGTTAGTATCGTTTCAAATGAACTCAGAGACTATGGGCTCAAAATGTGGTCATAAATATTTTGTACTTGTAAAAAAAATTTGTATGTGTAAAAAAAATTTGTGTGTGTAAAAAAGATTTGTATGTGTAAAAAAGATTAAGTAATGTAATGTGATAACATAAAATAAATAAACAATAACAATAAGAATAAGAATAATACATAAAATAACATCATTTCCTTTGGGGTTATTGAAGTATTCTGGTTCTGAGAACTATGGCGCAAGGTCTGTAAATGACAGCTGTTGGCTTTATGTTAAACATATAATTGTTTTATTCTGTATTTCTGCATTAAATTCTCTGTACATTCGTGGGTATGTTTGCTTTTTTTATTTGTAATGGAGGAGATCAGGATGTCTGTGTTCGACCTTTACTGTTTTATAATCACGGAGGATACAGAGGGTAGCAGAGTAACCACGCAGTCTGTATTCTTATTATGATAACTGCAGCTACCTTTTGTTTACGGGATATTTGAGGAAAAAGTGAGTGCTGAATAAGTTAAAATTATTTGTGCTGGTTAAGTCCAAAAACACCCAATGAGAAGGATGTGCGACATCTGAAGATACGGGTTACGGATAATGAATGAATCTAGGCCCCAAACATTAAAAAACAAAACAAAAACAAAAAAACATGTGAAAGTGGTAATAGTCTAATAGTAATTTAAGGACAATAAATGTAATATTTATATAATCATTAGCATTTAGATTAAAAATAAAACTACATTTACT